CCCCCACCCCCCAGTTCGGTCTCCTTACCCAGTAGGAAAAAGCCAGTTTTGAGGCTGCTGCATCGGGTGAGTTTCTTCTCCTTCCCTTGGCCAAAGCTACTGGCGCATAAAGGTAGGTTACACGGATGGGAATGCTACTAATTCCCTAAATATCTAGAAATCGTCTCCCTAGTTCTTGGTTGAGCCGTAGCTCAGCCACATTGTCAAATCGCGAGGGCCTTTAGGCTCCTGGTAAGAAGATGACTTTTCTTCTCCTATGGCTTTGCTCCTACCTACTCTATCTGATTCTACCTACTCCATCTGATTTTTAGATCTGAATTTTTTTTTTTCTTTTTGCCTTGGCCACCCTCTTTGACTTCATAGTATGTTAGTCTTTGACCTCATATAAGCAGAGTCTCTGATGGCAGGACCTCCCCATCCCTGAAGTTATTACTCATTTCTCTTACCTATCACTTCCACTACCCACGCTCCCCCAAGACCTCAGCAAACTTATTCGCTCTATATACATTTCCGCCTTCCACCAAAAATTCTGCAACCTGTGGGAATAATCAGCTAGTCAGAATGTCCCTAGGGTGTTGTGGACCCCTGCCTGCACCCCTATTGCACATGAACCTCCTTTTTCTGTTAGGTCTCTCCTAACAAGGCCCGCTTGCCTGTCTAGAGGCTTAGAGAGTCTGCTGCTTGACATCCCAAGGTTTCTCTGGCCTCAAGATTCTCAGTTGTCGGCCTTTACCTCCCAGTTTTGCTCTTCCAATTTTGCTTTTCCCATGGGAGGGGGGTGGGGTATGACATCTGTCTCCAGAAACAGAGGCTTACATGGCTTTCTCTCCAAGCCCCAACCTATTAATCATCTATTATCATATTAAGTCCTCTTGCCCAAAGGTGCCCCTGATTGGGGGCCTCAAGTACCAAATCACAGATCCTGCCCAGTTATAATTTTGCAAATGGCCCAGTGAAAACCGCACTGACCTTTATACCTCGCTCATCCCAGAACAGGGCCACAGTGTTGTCACCAACAGGAATGGACCTCCTTCTGTTCCAACACCTCAGACAGTCATACAGTTGGCCTGGATTTGAGTCTGCAAAACCATGGGGGGAGCAAGACTAATATGGCTATAGGCTTCCCTGTCGAAAGCCATTTTTTAAAAAACAGCACTGCAACCGCCCCCATCATGCTTCCCAAAGCCAAGCCACTCACCCTTCTCTCCTTTGCTTCTACAGACCACAGCCCAGAACCCTCAAGTCCAGGATCTGGAAGGTGGGACCAAAAAAACAAGTGGGGCTTCTGGCCCCCTCTTTGCCAGAACCACCCTCCCCACCGATCCCCCACCCCAATCCTCAAACCACCATCTAGGGAAGGAAAACCTAAGAGAGCAAGAATCTAAAAGGTTCAGTTCGCCTGAAAGTGCGGCAGTAATTTTGCCAGAGCCAGTTCACAAACTGAGGGGACAAGGAAGGGGAGGAGGCAGTGGACCCAATGACCCTGCTCCCCAGACAAAGACAAGGGCCAACCGAGGGACCACGGGCTCTCTCGGGAGGTTATTGCATCATCCCAATCCCCATAGGAGAAGAAAAGAGCCCTCCTGTCATTACCGCCTTCCCCCCCAAAAAAAGGGGAGGGGGAGAAAGAAAAATAAAAGAAAGGAGGGAAGCCGCCCGTTGAAGAAAATCGTCACTTTTTCTGTTTGCTCAGGTCGGGCTCTTCTGCCGAGGACTTGGCCTGACCGTGGCCACACCCCCTCCCCTTCTCTGGGGGGCTGCTGTCACCACTACTGTGGCTGGAGGGGGGGTGGGTGCGAGAAGATGGTCTAAGACTTAACAGGCTGACGTAGCTCTCAGGGTGGATTTGCCTCAAGCGGCCCAGGCCCCAGTAGCGAGTCTAGGGGCTTGACCAAGAGAAGGAGCCCAGGCCCTCCGGAACGGCCCTGACACACCCACTTGTCCGCGTTCGCGAACCGCGATCATGCAAACTGCGAGCCTGGTGTCAGGGCTCCGGGGAGCCACGTAGGGGACTCGAAGCTGGGGCGCCGCGGGAGCCCCCCCCTTCCCCAAAAGACAGAACATCTGCCCAGCGGCCTCAAAGCAGCGCCTCGCCGCTCATCCCTCCCCCGAGCTAGCCCGGGCGCCGTAAGTCGCGGGATTTACCTGCCACTGCTCCAGCCACCCTGTCAAGCAAGATCTTTTCTGTACCTCGGAGCGCTCCGGCTGGCGGGGCCCGGGGAGCCGCAGCCCCGCGGCCGCAGCCGCAGCCTGGGGCCCAGCCCGCTCCCTCCGGCACTTCTCCCGCCCCCGCACACCGGCTCCAGGCGGGGAAAAGCTGCAGCCCCAGTGCAAGATCGCAGGCGGTTCGCTGCCACAGCTGCCCGCCCGCGGTAGAGCCCCTGCTCGGCAACCGCTCCCTAGCCCTGCTCTCCCATGACGTCACCCGGGCTCTGCACCGGGCCTAGGCCAATCAGATGGTGAGCATAAAACTAAAATCGCCCTGAGTGGGCTACCGGGGACCAATCTTTTGTTTCCAGGCAGGAAGCGCCCGGGAGGGGGGGAAAACCGAAGGGGAGGGAACAGGGAGAGGGAAAGGAGATGGAAACTTCTACACTGTCAGGGTTGTCTAGACAGAGGTAAAAGGTGAGTCCATGGAGAAAGAGGGGCACCTGACAGGAGGAAGGGCAGGAGGGATTTCATGTCTCTTCCTGAATTGTCAACCTCAGGAAGACTGGGATTTCAGATGAATTTGCAGGAGAGGAAATCCAGCTACAAGGGCACGCTTTATTGGGGAAAAATGGTTTGGATTTGGGACACAACCTGTCAGACAAGCAGGTTACACCAATAGAGTCTCTAAAATACATAGAGAACTGAGAGAGGCAAATGTGGCAGTGGGACTCAAAGAGTTGGCAATCTAGATAGGGAAACTACTTTTCTGCACATGAAACACACATTTCAAAACAGAGCATTAAACAAAAAAGAAAAATAACTATTCTACTTCAAATTGAGGGTGTGTATATACATAATATATATCACTGTATATATTATTTGTTTTTATCTTACTATAATTTAATATATATATATATATATATATAATTATAACTTCATTAAATACGTTTCTTCCTGTCCATCCTTTCCCTAAAGTCTTCAATGGCTTCTCTTGTCTTTAAGGTAAGGTTTATATTTTTGCAGGTGTCAAAGCCTCCTAAAATCTAACTCCAAAAATCATCTCTTGCTACTCCAAAATCCATACTTCCCAGGATTTGGTAAGATTATGTAAATTATGGAAAATCCCAGCAAGGAGACAGTAAGCAGCCATAAAAAATGTCAAATAATATAATAAATACATATGAATGATAGTGATGTAAAATATGCCCACAGAAGAACATAAAATTATAGTAGTTGGTTAAAGTAGTAGAATTATGGGTGATATTTTTCTCTCTTCTTTCAAATTTCTTTTTATAAAGATAAATATATCCTCACACACTTGAATGGTCAAAATGGGTCATGATTTATCCCAGTGTACTTTTATTCAATTTTCTCAACACTGCATAACATCCAGCAACCATTTCTCCATAATGCCAACAAAATAAGTTTCAAGACCAAGAGTGAACTAATATATCTACCAGGTCCTTTTAGAAAAAGTCACACAACAAATCTCTACATTCACCAGAGATAACTTCTCAGGCAGCTGGAGAATGGGATGCTTCTTTTGCACTAATTCATTTTCAATTGTGATGTTCCAGGGAATTAAAAAGAGAACAATGGCCCAATCTATGACAACAGGAAAGAGAGAGGCCAAGACTAGGTAAACTACATAATCCAGACTATTTTTAAGTATCACTTTGCATTTTATTTTTCTTAATTAAAAAATATAGAATCATGCATACATGAGTATTACATGAACATTGTTGAAAATGGCAGAGCTGGGATTTGTATCTAAATCTGAGTCCGAAGCCCATGTTTTTTCTAATATGATGCAGTGTACTCCTGCTAAGAATTAAACGTGGTAATACTGATTTTGTTAAAATACACACTTGCTTTAAATAAAACAGACTATACAAGATTGGCATTTTTTTTAAAAATCAGGCATTTTTAAATAGCTTTTTTGGTGTGTTGGCTGTCTTCTAATGCAAATATGCCCAACACAGTCCCTCTCAAATCCATGATTAATAGGTTGAAATCAAGATGGTTCTGCTTCCAGTGATTTTACAGATATCTTTTAAATTAACTTTGGGATTAAAAAATAGTAACCACATCACATTGATTTTTTAAAATCCACATTGTGGTAAAAGTAACCTTAAAAAATTAGTGACATAAATAAATGTAATTTACTTAATCTTAACATCTCTGATTTGTAAAATGCATTTATTTGACTTATTTTAAACAAGAGCACTTTTTCTTTTTGTAAAGAAATAAAAAGATATAAGTGGATTTTCCTGGCTAATGATTTAACTTGGGTCTTCTAGACTATTGATTTAAATTGTAAATTAAAAGGTATTTGATTTCACTCTAATCTTTCCATATACCTCAGCTATAATTCAGAGCTATTTCCGCAGTCACTGCACATGGTTATTTAAACACTTCATGTGTGTATTTCTTCTCTCCCTAGTGATTACAGAAACTAGCATGGGGCCAAAATCTTATTAGGTACTTGACAAATTAAAGCATAGTGATGTCACAGAAAGAGGACTGTACTTAGGACCCAAGCCCAGCACAGTTTTTGGTCTTGCTGTGAGTGATAACCTACACTGTTCTTGACACCAGAAAGCAGTCTTTACTGCCAACATGGTTTGTTCTCCAAGAGTATAGAGAAATTGCCTGGGAACATTCAGGGAAGGGATTCTAGGCTGAAATATTTTAAAGATTTCATTTGTGTAATGTTCCTGCTCAACTCCCACCATTCCCTGCTTTTCTGCTTGGGAGCACCTTGATTGAAAGATACGACAATACTACCATAATAACCACTTGGCATGTGTATCCTACTTCTCAGGTTACGAATCTCCCCATTTGATCCTCACAACAACCACAACAGTTTACCATGGCAATTATTATAACCTGCATTTCGTAGATGAGATAATTGGAATATTATGCATTGGCTAACAGAATCAAGTAGATCCTTATGTGCTAAAATAGAAACACACCTTGATACATTCTTGAGTGAAAAATTGCAGAACAGCATGTGTACTATGACTTTAGTTTTGTCAAAAAGTGTGTGTGTGTGTGTGTGTGTGTGTGTGTGTGTGTGTGTGTTAAAGCTGGAATTATATGCACCAAACTGCTGATAGGGTAACTCTGGGAATAAAACGGGAGAGGGAAGACGTGTAAGTGTGTGTGGTGGGAAGGAGCTGTTTTCTTTATATACTTCTGTATTGTTTGTACTTTTTTACAATAAGCAATATAAAGTATTTTGCTTGTAAGAAACATTAAAAAGGAAAAATATAGCCTTCTTTAGATTAAGACAAAAAAAAAAAAAACAACAAAGAAACAAACCATTTCTGCTATCTGAAAGAGGTCTGGCTGCCAGGTCAATGGTTCAAGTGCAGCAATCAAAGCCGTGATGTGCCAGGCTGAGCTGAGCCATGCCTGCACAGGCATTGGATGCAGGGGAGCAATGTGCATCCAACGGGCAAAAGCAATCTGGACTTCCTGGTCCCTTTCCACCCCCACCTCAAGTCCCACAGCCAGAAATCACTCCCAGTAGTGGATTCTGGGTCTTTGTGGCTCTCAGTCTTTACATCTTTTGCTCCAGCAGCTGCACTTGTTAAAGAAATCCCTCCTCTTGCTCTGAACACAAGAGAACCTTGCTTGGCAACTGGTGCACAGGCATTGGTTAGGAGCACAGTGCCCACTCCTACAGTGGGGACCTGCTCACTACAACCTGTTGCCATCACTGCAGTCTGGCCTTACTGGGCCCCTTCCTTCTTGGCTCCCCACTCCCATCATTAGGGGCTCCAGCTCTCCTGTAGCAGGCAACATTGTGGGCTGCCTGCTGGGCAAACAGCAAGGAGCCTCAAAGATGCCAAGAGGTCCCATCTTAGGTCCCTGAAAAATCAGAGGCTGAAGAAAGAGGGAAGACCATGACTAGAAAATCACCATCCTCCTGGGTCCTCAGAGTTCTGGCCAGTGAATCAGGAGATCCAGACTCTATCCAGCCTCTAGAGAGGAAACCTTGAGCAAGACTCAAATTTCCCTGGGTGTTAGTTTTATTCTCTGTCAAACTTGCCTTGCGTATCTATCTTGCCAAACTGTTGTATGGTTGCAAATGGCTAATGGAACAAGAGTGGATTTAACAGATTTCAGAGCTATACACCTCCTTAACAGACTTGATGAGTCCCCATCTACATGTGTTTCCTAAATGGTGGGAACTTGGGAATGGAGATTCTCTCCTAACCTTCCTTCACTATAATTAGCCCCCATTAGAGACCTGCCCTGCAGAATCTATGAGCTTTCTGAAGCTCACAGCTTCTGCCCTCCTCTTTTCCACCGGGGAGTTAGTGAAGGAAAAGCAGAAGACAATTAAATCCAGGTGGCTCTGGGTGAATTAATATGAGAAGTTCCTCTTCTCTGACTTGGTTTTAATTAGTCCTGCCTCCACCATGGTCTTACATATCAAACCATGTTATTTAATTGAGCTGATGTTCTGTTTGATTTTTCTCCCAAGCGGATCACATTATACATTCCTTCCTCACACACTCCCAATGACTGCACTGCTGGAACCTAAGTCAAACTGCAGAGTGAATTGAATTTGGAAAGTTGGTTCCATTGCTCTCCCTATTGGGAAAGAAGGGGGGGAGGAGGAGAGAAAGAGAGAGAGAGAAAGAGAAGAAAGTGGAGGACAAAATCACAAAATCTAGGGGACAAAGAACCAAGGAGGGAAATAAAAAAACAATTTTTTTTGTGGACTGGCTGGACTATGATGTCATGTTTTCCCTGCTCACCTGTGATTGGCTGCTCAGTTCAGCATCTGCTGAGAGCTAAAGGCTGATTATTTGCCGGAGATACAGACCTTTCAGGGAAGCTTTGAATCATTACTGGTTGTCGTGACAACCTGGGCAGTGTCTGCTCCTGATAACCACATAATGAGGTTGTCAGGAACAGAAGTGCCCCCATCCCCACACCCAACCATCTGAAGTGATGAGCAGTGGAACATTTCTTTGAGGAGGCAAAGGGGGGAAAAATCACAAACAAATAGTGAAAATGGTGGAGATCCCCTCAGATAATATATGTCAGCCAA